TTAATTAGATGTTTATGTTTTACAGTAAATCATTGTATGTATTTACCTAGATAGTGATGAATGTTTTCARATTCTTTCTTAATGTCCCAATTAGTGCTTGTACAGCACTAATACCTACATCTGCCCATCCCTAATAAACTATTCCTTGGATGTTTTTCTTCCCCTTTCCATCTTGTCATATCCTATTAGTTTCACTTATAGTAATTTCTATTATTTATAATTATATGAAATGCTTATTTGTCTACTTACWTATATGTTGTCATTACTTATAGACAACCAAAAATATCTTACAGTGGACCTGGCTTACTTTAAGGGAGGTTAAAATTACTTTTCTGGGTTGAAGGAGAATTTAGTAAAAGATTTTATTACCTTTTTGACTAATAAATATTCTTTATATTTTGTAAACCTAACTCTTTGTCTACTAACTTGCTACTAATGTTCTCATTTTTTGTGTTATTTTTGGTTTATGAAAAGTGTTTAATGCCAGAATAACATTAGATTAACTTTAGTATATTGCTCTTTACCATTGTGATTTCTAAGACATATTTTATGTCTAAGACATATTTGGTCTTTTTTTATTGGTGCATATTAATGATACAGAATGGTGAGTTTCATTAATGATTTGATGTTTTACCTTTAGCTCTTATTTGTTTTTGATACATGATAGAATTAGTAATTAATAATTTTATTTTGATAAATAATCTATTTTCTCAACTTTTAATCTCATATTTCCTTCATATTTCTTTATGATTCTTCATGTATAATATATTAATTTACTATATTAATTTGAGGTTCTTCTTTACATGCATTAGCATTTGTTCTATTTATTTCCCTGTTAATCCTTTTGGTAGTAATTCAGTGTTTTAATTATTATTGCTGTATAACAATTACATTTTCTTTTTTGTAAATATTGATTTTTTTAGTTGTAGTTGGACACAACACTTTCATTTTATTTATTTTTATGTGATTCTGAGGATCGAACCCAGGGCCTCGCACGTGTTAGGCGAGTGCTCTACTGCTGAGCCACAACCCCAGCCCAACAATTACATTTTCTAATGTGCTTTCATATTCTTTAAGGCAAGACCCTTCTATTATTTTTCTCTTTCCAATTTTTCTTAATTTGGCCCTATAGCACTTTCTTAGTTTTTGTCCCAGATTTAGACAAAAGTTATCCTTTCAAGTTTGAATTTCAGTGTTATAAGCTTTCATATCTTTGTGCATGTGTGACTKTATCATTTCATGTGGAGAGATAGAAGACAATGAATTTGAGGCCGCTAAGCAAATAATATATCACTAGATGCTTCTAAACTATTACTTAATAAATATTTATTTGAATAATTGTGTCCCTTAAGTCTGTGAAATGATTAACTTCAACATCTGGAATTTCTCAGTAGAATTGTTTGTGGGTAGAGCATGATTACACGGATTAATCATTATCCATTGAGGGGAGGGAGAAGGGGTCTTTAATTCAATCTCATGCTGCTTTCTTATGCCAGATGCATTTATTTCTCTGTGTAGCACTAACTGTTCAATATAATTAGTTAATTTCACTTTCTCTGTAGAAAAGTATTACAGTCCCATTGTTGCTCCCATGAAAACTTGTTCCTCACACAAAAGCCATTCAGTACATACACTGGTGGGGGCATTAGTTAGACAGGCTACTACAGATTAGGGAATTCTTTCCTATAGATTTCAGATATTATCTTACAGAATTCTAAGCTGTAGAGTTGGCAGAGGCTAGAGATCAGATAAATTGAAAACACATCCCCAGAGGTTCACTAATGGTCACAAAGCTGTTAGGTCAKATACAAAGGTTAAAAGTAAATGACTATTTTTCTGAAGAGCTTAAGATAGCCCTAGACAATGTTAGTTCTAAACATGGAACATATCATCTCTCCACAACCATGATGTGCTACTCAGCTGAAGCTAGTTTGCAACGTCTTGAGTGTAGTTGTGGCTTCTTCAGAGAAATTCAGCTGCATATAAGCAAATAAAAAGCTCAGCAGAAGCAGTAGTAAACACAGTGCAAAAATAGTTTCTGAAAATCTGCAGGGAAGAGCTGAGTTTTGAAAGTTGAATAAGAATAGAGGCAAATCCATTTCTAGGTAGAAAGATAGTATAATCAAATTTGTGTGGGCATGACAATGCTTCCCCCATTCAAGAAAAACAAATTGTCCAGTATGATCTGAGTCGGTGTGCATTGCAGGAGTGGAAAATTAATTATTCTCTATATATTTCATTGTTCTTAGTTGGGACAATCTCTATAACAAAAGGCAGGTTAACAAGAGAAAAAACAACAGAAATTTAACAACACATGTATCTCATGGGAGATACCCAGGGAAGTGAGTAAATCTTTAAAAGATGGCTTTAAGTTTGTGTTTAAATACCATCTTTAACTGAGATGATAGAAGGTGGCTAAGTAGATAGCCAGGTAATAGGAAAATAGCCAGTAAAAGCACAATAAATATGAGTAAGCGTCACTATATAGATTTATGCTACCTTCTCTATTGACTCATCCTTCTCTTCCTGCTACAGAAAAGGAGAACTTTCATAAATGAAGGTTTCCTTCATAGATGTAAATTTCCCCATATAGAAGCCAACTTCTGCTCTGTTCTCAGAGCTTCTCCTCTTGTCTGCAKGTTTTTTTCAAAATAATCTTTACATCAAAGGGACGTGCTTTGGAGTGGCATATTCTGCTCTTCTACAGCACACATGCAATGTTGGAAATAAAGCTAGTACTGAGGTAGGGATGACCCCTTATGCCATACTATTGATTGTGAAATTTATCCAGTGGGTAATTCAGAGGTTGCAGTTAGTACTGATATGGTCTTATGTGCGTTTTAGAAAACAAAACAAAACTGGCCACAAACTAGGGAGCTGAAGCCAAGAAAATAGTTGGGAATAATTTGTTCCTGCCAGCTAAATGTGGAGCTTGCCTTCCATTGTTCTCTTGTGTTGGAAGAGAATTAAAGAAATGGAAGAGGGAAAAGGAGAAAGCTAAAAGAGAACAGAAAGAACTCTCTGGAGCAAGTTATATGCATCAAAAGGAGGAAAGAGGAAGTGAAACTTCCATTCCTCTCACCTCCAGATCTTCTCTGGCATCTTGGCCTGGAGACCAGGAGCTACCTGGTGAATACTGACTCCTGAGTATTGATATCATCCCCTCTTTTGCTTCTGACATTTGATTTTGTCACTAAGTCCTTTTCAATTTGAAAAACCTTTCTCATTGCCCTCCCTGCCATCACTAGCAGGAGTTTCCAGTTTAACCACTCAGCACCTAGTTGATATCCTGGAGGCCTTACTTCTCCCTTCTTGTTAAATCTCCCCTAGATCACCCTCACCAAAATGCTTTTACCATCAGGAGCCTTGCTCAAAGGTTTATTTTAGGCTGCTGTGATGGCACAGGACTGCAATCCCAGAGACTTCAGTGGGAAGTTGAGGAGTTTGAGGCAGGAGAACAGCAAGTATTAAGATCAGCTTCAGCAACTTAGAACTTTCCTCAAAAGAAATTAGACTGGCAATGAAACTCCACGGTAAAGAGCCCCTGAGTTCAATCCAAGTACCAAAAAAAAAAAAAGTTGAATTTGTGGGGACAAAAGTCAAATTTTCAGAATATACTTAAAACCCCTATCCTATCTACCCTCATGAGTGCTCTCATTTTCTGCCTGTGATCATACTTTTCCTCTTGTAAACACCCTCAGCATCCCTTCCTTCATTATACCCAAGTCAAAACCTTTCAGTGCTCAAAGTTCAACTCAAATTATTTTCTTTTTTTCCTCTTTTTTTGCAGTGTAGGAATTGAACCTCATCTGTGCTAGGAAGGTGTTCTACCCTAAGCTACAACCCTAGCTCTGTTTCTTGCTACATATTGTTGGTTTTTTTTGGGGGGGGCAGGTAGGGGAATCCATGCCACTTTCATTTTATACAAGGGCTTAAAATTTAACTGAGAAAACCCTCTTCATTTGTTGAACATGTATTATTGACCCAAATGTTTGGTAAGGTCTCACAAATATTCCAATAACTCCCAATTCGAACATACTTAGTTCAACTTCACCAATATTTATTCTACAATATGTACAAGGCATTGTTATAAACATTCTCAGACTGCCATTGTTAAAGGATAAATGTGTCAAATGTCTGCTCTTGGGAAGAATAGTTCACATATTTATTAATACTGGAAGACCATTTATACTTCATCCATATGATTAATAATTTGTGACTTTTCAAACCAGATACTCTTCCCCCATTGAATTGATGAGTTCTATAAATAGAAGGAATTGTGATGGAAGCTACATCAATGTGTTTAATTGCACACATTTTACATTTCACGTCAAGAATCCAGGCTTAGTAGATACAGAAATATAATCAAGCCTTCAACATCATACTTGATCTTGAAACACATATTGATCTTGAAACACTATTGCTAATAACTCCATATATATTAGAAGTGCTTCACTCAAGGGTCTAGAAATTTAGGGAACTATGGTCCATTCATCTTCCCTACTTCCTTATATAAGAACTTATTAAGATTTCTTTGGGAAAAGGGGGGGAGAAGAAGAAGAAGAGGAAAAGTTTTTTCTATTAGTTTTTAAAGGAAGTAAAAGTAATTTCTTTAATTATTTCACCTGAAACCTTAACAAATGAGTTATTAGCAGAAATCTAAGAAATAGGCTGCATAAAGGGAACTGACTATAAGGATGATGAGCCTTATAAAAATCAAAGACCAAATGCTTGGTGTGCCACCTCTTGCATTTAGGCCAAGAACCATCTGTCCTCTGGTGTTCGTAGCAAAAATTGTCAGGAAATAAGGTGTTAGGAATCAATGTCTCCCTCAGATAGAAAGCATATTTTCCAAAAGTATGGGAATTTTATCACAGAAGTATCTGAATACCACAGGGAAAAAATAAAGAATTTAGCCTCATAGGAAAGCAGAAAGTACCCAGTGTTACAGTCTTTGGCCAATGCTTTCTAATTCTTCTTTTTCATATCTTTAAATACAGAATCCCCTTCACCTACAACTGAGTTTAGAAAATTCATTAAGTTCTGATGCTGATGTCACTGTCTCAATCCTGACCATGAACAACTGGTACAATTTTAGCTTGTTGCTGTGCCAGGAAGACTGGAACATCACTGACTTCCTCCTCCTCACCCAGAACAATTCCAAGTTCCACCTCGGGTCTATCATCAACATCACGGCTAACCTCTCCTCCACCAAGGACCTCTTGAGCTTCCTGCAGGTCCAACTCGAGAGCATTAAGAACAGCACACCCACCATGGTGATGTTTGGCTGCGACATGGAGAGTATCCGGCAGATATTTGAAATTACCACCCAGTTCGGGGTAACACCCCTTGAGCTTCATTGGGTGCTGGGAGATTCCCAGAATGTGGAGGAACTGAGGACAGAAGGTCTACCCTTAGGGCTCATTGCTCATGGAAAAACTACACAATCAGTGTTTGAGCACTACGTGCAAGATGCCATGGAACTGGTCGCCAGAGCAGTAGCCACCGCCACCATGATCCAGCCAGAACTTGCTCTCCTTCCCAGCACGATGAACTGCATGGAAGTGAAAACTACAAATCTCACTTCAGGACAATATTTATCAAGGTAGGATTCAAGGGCCATGAGAGAAAGTAAAATTTTCCTATTTGTCCCCTATAATTCTGAGTAGTCTTAAACTCTAGTAATATTTCTGAAAGTGCTTCCAGTTACATAAGGTTAGTATCTTCATTTATCAGCTGTAATTTTATGTACCCAATGTGACAGCGAGTACTCGTCTTGCTTTTAGACCTTGGCTTAACCCCTTACTCACCATTGGTTTGGGCAAGTTATTTAAAACCTCTGAGCCTTAGTTTTCTAACTAGCTGGATAGAGAATAATAAGGACACCCTTATTAACATTAAAGTACCTTAATTAACATTAAAAGTACCTAACACCATATGGACTCATGGTAACTAAATAAAAGTATTTCTTTCCTGCCTATTCTTTTTCATATAGATATGCTTAAAAATATTTCTAAATATATAAAGACGACAAAATTACTCAAGCAGGAAATCTACTTTTCTCTCTGCCCCCAGGCCTTGATACTTAGAACAGTTATAAAGATCAAAGACAGAATCTAGAGTTAGACTGAGTTTGAATTTTAGCTCTGTGACTTACTACTTCCATTACCTAATCAAGTTACTCAACTTTGCTCAGTCTTAGTTTCTTATGTTTTGTATCAATTTATGGATAAAATGGATATAGCACTGGATCCTGTGACCCATGGAATTGGAATATATTATAGATAAATGGACTCATAGATAGATAGGAAGATAGATCTATGAATTCCATGAGAGTATTTTTTTTWATTTTTAGCAATTATGATTTAGTATTTGGGACATAAATAATTACACATACATATATTCAAATTAGGCACCTTTCTGCTTAGTACCTCAAACTGATTCCAAAGCTAGAATGAAACAGCTTATTTAAAATAAAGAGTAACCCGTCATATGGAAATGATTTTCATAATACCTGGGAAAAGAAGATATTTTGTAGGGGCCTAGATTTTCTTCTGATAAAGGATGACCTATGGCCAGAGATGCCAAGTCAGAGAATTATTGGTATTCCAGAGGTGAGAGCTCACCTGTAGTCTAGGCCCTGCTTTTAGGCAGTCCTCTTAGAACAATGACAATACAAAGTTGACAATACAAAGAAACACAAGACAACCTCATAGTGTCTTGCCTTTAAAGAATAAAATTTCAGGGAGGGGCCTCAGAATTTTACATTTGTAGATTGGGTACTACCATATTCAAGGCAACATGCTAAATGGCAAGTATAAGACTAAGCAAAATCTACAAACTCCTTTCAGAATRTTGTTGATAAAATATAAAATAATTCAGACTTTTATTTCTTAAAAATATGTTAATGATAAAATTAGATGTTCTATCATCATCAGAACTTTCCATTTCTCGATATTACCTTTGAGTCTCCATAAGATTAAAGTCTATGCCTATTCTATTTTACAATTGCTGTCCAGTTTAATCTACTCTTTATAGATAACTGAAGCTCAGGATTTTATCTAAGAAAAGAAACATTCCCCTTCACAGAAAACATATAAGCAAAGCTTTGATTTATAATTTCAAACAGGCATTATTTTGGAAAGAGAATCACAAACAACAGACAAGAAAAACCACCAGTGAAAGCTACATTAAGTTGTTTACCATCTTTCTGTCCTCATGTAAAATGAAGAACACAAGAAAAATGATTCTGTGTGGATCCTAAACAAAGAATATTTGTTGACTTAGGTTGCATATATCTTAGGGATTCATTTTATCAAGATCAACCAACATATCTGGTTCCCCAAGATGTAGTTTATATCAAAATGACGTGCCTCTTTCCACAAGGATCCCCTGCACTTTGAAAGTACACAATGGCACTTACTCTGTCACCATTATTTGTCTCTGTGACTTACTTCTGAATTAGAATATAAATTCTATTAAGTGGAGACAGTATGATTCAGCCCAATCCAAAACCTAGCATGCTGCAGGCACTTAATAGATATTTATTGACAAAGGAAGAAGGAAAGGAAACTTACTATTATATGTGTATCCTAAATTTTCTGTTGCTGTAGAAGAAAATGGATAGTTGGTAGAAAAAATATTATCTAAATTATAAACACTTTTTTTCTTACATAGATACTACTGTCTGGTTATCTTTTTTCCCTTTTCTTTCTTTCTTTTTTTTAATTTTTGTATGTGTGTGGAATGTTAAGTTAGTGGATTATCTCTAACCTCATCATGACTATTTCCACATTTTTATTCCACAAATTTTAAAAACTGTGAAAGAAGAGTGTGAAGTTTGGAACCCAGCAGCAATTCACAACGTATTAGGGTCAGTGACAATATCTTCATCCCCATAGATATGTTTGAGAAATGAACTCAAAGAACTTCAGAAACTATGCCTGGGATTTCTTAAACTCCCTGAGGAATGCAGTCAAAGAGAAACTTTCAAAGTGTTCAGGAAAGGGTCAAGGAAAGTGGGTGAAACCCTGGAAGGAGTCTTTATAATGAATAACTTAAAATCTGCCTTAAGCCATGAAACATCTGTGGATCTTTCATCATCCTTATTTATTTGGTCTAATTCAATCTTTTAGAAAGTTAGTTATTCTCAGTCCATAAGTCACATCTGCATATAGTAATTTTCTTAATTGTTTCTAAATTTTGTGAGGCTGACCCCACTACCTCACTGCATAATAAAAACCGGGAGGATAATGAGCCATGTCAGAGTTATGCAAGCTTTCATTTCTCACACAGTCATTTTCAGTTTGGGCTGACAGTATTGTTAACATTTTAAAATGTTAACAGAATTGCCAAAAACATGGCATTTTCAGTATAGACTTTTAGACTAGAAAAATCATTTCTAATGGCAGAGTACATAGACATAATTACAGGTATAAAAGATTTTATTCTTCCCAGTTCCCTTGCATGCCAGAGTAAATGTCCATCATAACTAAATGCACAAAAAACTGTTTGGGGACCCAGTTTCTTGTGGGATATTTAATAATTTCTTTACAAGTTGCTTTACTAAATGTTAATTATTTGGAGCCAGTATAGCTGGCACATTATTCTGATAATTCTTCCATAAATACACATGTCAGGATGCATCTGTCCAACCAATGACCATTTGTTGAACTAAGGAGAAGTCAATAAAGACTCAAATCTTGCCATTTTTGGAGTTGACAGTCTAACACATGAGGTTTAAAAGTAAGCAAGAGTTATAAACGATGGGATGTGTGATTTTTAAGAATAGAGATGTGGCCAGGCATGGTGGCACACTCTTGACGCCAGTGAGTCAAGAGGCTGAGGTAGAGGATCCCAAGTTTGAGGCCAGCCATAGAAACTTAGCAAGACCCTGTCTCAAAATAAAAAATTAAAAGGGCTGGAATGTAGCTGCATGGTTAAGCACCCCTGGATTCAATCTTCAGTACCAAAATAAAAATAAAAATTTGTTCAGAAACACAGAGAAAGAAATAACTAACTCTTCTTAGACATTTGGTGATGGACTTTGATTTTTCAGGTTTGGAGCAAATGGACAGGCATGGAAAATGTCATATGCAGATTTTTCAAGACTAGAAAAGGAAATTTAGTACTGTTGGAGCATTAATTGCATATGAAGAGGATTTGAGATGATTCTGGAAAAGCAATTAATTTGACAGCATAGCACTCGGGTTTTTTATGCYACACAAAAGGGGTTTGCATCATAAGCACAGTAGACATCAGCGGAATGGCAGAACATTAGCCATGACACATTTATAAAATTATAGTCTTGTAACAAATTAACTAAATAAAATGAGAGAGTATAAAAGTCTTGAAAATAAATTTTAAAACCATTAGGATACAAAATTATTTTTATTTCACAAAATTAATTTCAGCCTTGCCCACATTTCCCTCCTTCCTGTACCATGAACACTAAACTTATAAAAATGAACAAAAGTTTGAGGATTTACCTGCTATTCCTAGGAATAAGATTTGTACCTGCTGATCTGAAGGCCCTGGTTGCTAATGAATCCATTGTTCTTGGAGAAAGACCTTCATGGGTTATTCATAGGTCAAGGGCACTTACCCTTTAAATTTTTAAGAGTATAGACCCCAGTAAATACCCCTTATCCTTGGCCTGAAAAAGTCCCTGACCRTTTGCCTAAGTAATTATAATCCTGATAGCTATTTGAGCTTCTAAGAGGGATGTGAAATCCTGACTTTCTTCTTCAAACAGCTTCTGAACTTCATTTCTGTATCCTGCAAGAGTTCTATGAAGCAGGAAATAATTAATTCATTTATTCATTCARACATTTATTGAAATTTGCTAATATTAGGTAGAAAAAACCTCAACTGGAGACACAAAGAGTAAAAAAATAGAGAGAGGGTTCTGCTCTCAAGAAGCTGACAATCCCTTGCATCTGTTCTCACACCAGCAAAGGACAGACACGCCTTATTATCTATACTTTTATCCATTTTTCTTGACCTGGATATTTGATTATCATTATTTATTGAGCCAATACCCATTCTATTTGTGATTATTCTCTGGCACTAGCTGGCATTTCCGGTCCCCCTTTCAGTTGACCTTGAAGCTTGATCCAACCTGTTAAAATCTTTTTTCCCTACAAATTATGTTCATCTTGATGTTTACATGGTCAAGCAATACAGAGACTAATTGGCCTTTCCTTAACAGCAAATCCTTTAATTATTGATTCTGCACATATTATTAAGAACCTGTTAATGGGCTGGGGTTATAGCTCAGTAGTGGAGTGCTTGCCTTGCACATGTAGGGCACTGGGTTCGATCCTCAGCACCACATAAAAATAAATAAAGTTATTGTGTCCATCTACTACTAAAATTACAAAAAAAGAGTGAAGTTATAATTATAAAAGGAGAACCTATTCTGTGTTCTTGTAAATATATCAAAATAGATTCTACTATCATGAATAACTAAAAATAACAAATAAAAATTTTTAAAAGAACCTATTATGTGCCAGATACTAGAAAAGTTTCAGAAAAAAAAATACCAAAACAAATATCCATTCAAAAAAACCTAAGATATAAATTGATGATGTTCCACAATTTATT